CAGGTGAAACGTCAGGAGAGAATGCTTCTAGAACATGGCCAGATAGCTCGAAAAAACTACAACTCAATAGTAGTAGTAATAATAATAATAATAATAATAATACATGTTTCCCCCAATCCAATACTAATAATGCCTATTTCTCCCCTTCCAACCCATTCTGTCTTGAGTTGGAAAACTTTCCCAATTCTGTTTTGGGTTGGAGGTTTTTTTGGTGCTGGAGGCGTTGGGAAATGGGAGTCTCCTCCAATGACTCAGAACAACAAGAGCAGCAAAGTAATGCTTCTGGCTGGGACGGTGGAGGCTGTCCCTCCTCCTCCTCCTCCTCCTCCTCCTGCTGTTGCTTTTCGGGGCGGAAGGGGGCTTAGCTCCCTGACTCCGCCTGGTCCGGTCAGCTTGGCGGCGCTCGCTGCGGCCATGGCGGGGATCCTTCCCGGGCTCCTGGGGCGCCTTCTCGGCCGCGACGCCTCCCTCAGGGCCCTTCGGGGGGGAACCGGGAAGCGGCGATGGTGCAGCCTGGGCTGCTGCGCCTCTTACCGCCTCCGGGATGGAGGTGAGCCTGGAAGGGAAGTGGCATCGTTTCAATAGGGAAGTAGATTTGAATGTATACGGGTTTGTTTGTGTGTGCAGGTATATCCCAGGTATGCACCAACTTGGGCTCTCCTTCCAGGTGTTTTGAACTCCAACTCCCACAATTCCTAGCAGCCTCAGGCCCCTTTCTTTTCCCCCTCAGATGCATAAGTGCTGGGCCCATGACCAATTGTTAGGCTGTGTTGCCTGTGCAGAGTGCAAGAAGCTTCCTCTACAGCAGACCTGGGCCAACTTGGGCTCTCCTTCCAGGTGTTTTGGACTCCAACTCGCAATTCCTAACAGCCTCAGGTCTCTTCCTTTTCCTCCTCAGCTGCTGGGCCCATAACCAATGCTTAGGCTCTTTCGCCTGTGCAAAGTGCAAGGAAGCTTCCACTACACCAGGCACGGACCAATTTGGGCCTTCCAGGTGTTTTGGACTCCAACTCCCACAATTCCTAGCAGCCTCAGGCCCCTTCCTTTCCCCCTTCAGCTGCATAAGCTAAGTGCTGGGCCCATAACCAATGCTTAGGCTGTGTTGCCTATGAAGAGTGCAAGAAACTTCCTCTACAGCAGACCTGGGCCAACTTGGGCCCTCTTTCCAGGTGTTTTGGACTCCAACTCCCACAATTCCTAACAGCCTCGGATCTCTTCCTCCTCAGCTGCTGGGCCCATAACCAATGCTTAGGCTCTTTTGCCTGTGCAAAGTGCAAGAAAGCTTCCTCTACACCAGGTGGGGGCAACTTTGGCTCTCCAGGTGTTTTGGACTCCAACTCCCACAATTCCTAGCAGCCTCAGGTTCCTTCTTCCCCCCCCCCCCCTCAGCTGCTTAAGCTGAGTGTTGTGCCCATAACCAATAGTTAGGCTCTGTTGCCTGTGCGGAGTGCAAGGAAGCTTCCTCTACACCAGGCATGAGTCAACTTGGGCCCTTCAGGTGTTTTGGGCTTCCACAATTCCTAGAAGTCTCAGGTCCCTTCTTTTTCCCCCTCAGCCACTTAAACTAAGTGCTAGGCCCATAAGCAATTGTTAGATTCTGTTGCCTGTGCAGAGTGCAAGGAAGCTTCCTCTACACCAGGCATGGGTCAACTTGGGCTCTCCTTCCAGGTGTTTTGGACTCCAACTCCCACAATTCCTAGCAGCTTCAGCCTCTTACTTTTCTCCCTCAGCCACTTAAGCTCAGAGCTGGGCCCATAACCAATTGTTAGGCTCTGTTGCCTGTATGGAGTGCGAGGAAGCTTCCTCTACAGCAGGCATGGGCAATTTTGGCCCTCCAGGTGTTTTGGACTCCAACTCCCACAATTCCTAGCAGCCTCAGGCCCCTTCCTTTTCCCCCTGAGCCACTGAAGCTGAGTGCTGGGCCCATAACCAATGTTAGGCTCTGTTGCCTGTGCAGAGTGCAAGGAAGCTTCTTCTACACCAGGTATGGGCCAATTTGGGCCTTCCAGGTGTTTTGGACTTCAACTCCCACAATTCCTAGCAGCCTCAGGTCCCTTCTTTTTCCCCCTCAGCCACTTAAACTGAGTGCTGGGCCCATAAGCAATTGTTAGATTCTGTTGCTTGTGCAGAGTGCAAGGAAGCTTCCTCTACACCAAGCATGGGTCAACTTGGGCTCTCCTTCCAGGTGTTTTGGACTCCAACTCCCACAATTCCTAGCAACTTCAGTCCCTTACTTTTCTCCCTCAGCCGCTTAAGCTCAGAGCTGGGCCCATAACCGATTGTTAGGCTCTGTTGCCTGTATGGAGTGCGAGGAAGCTTCCTCTACAGAAGGCATGGGCAACTTTGGCCCTCCAGGTGTTTTGGACTTCAACTCCCACAATTCCTAGAAGTCTCAGGTCCCTTCTTTTTCCCCCTCAGCTGCTTAAGCTGAGTGTTGGGCCCATAACCAATTGTTAGGCTCTGTTGCCTGTGCAGAATGCAAGAAAGCTTCATCTACAGCAGGCCTGGGCCAACTTGGGCCCTCCAGGTGTTTGGACTCCAACTCCCACAATTCCTAGCAGCCTCAGGCCCCTTCCTTTCCCCCCTCAGCTGCGTAAGCTGAGTGTTGGGCCCATAACCAATTGTTAGGCTCCGTTGCTTGTGCAGAGTGCGAAGAAGCTTCCTCTACAGCAGACCTGGGCCAACTTGGGCCTTCCAGGAGTTTTGGACTTCAACTCCCACAATTCCTAACAGCCTCAGGCCCCTTCCTTTTCCTCCTCAGCTGCTTAAGCTGAGTACTGGGCCCATAACCAATGCTTAGGCTCTGTTGCCTGTGCGGAGTGCGAGGAAGCTTCCTCTACAGGAGACATTGGTCTACTTGGGCTTTCCAGGTGTTTTGGACTCCAACTCCCACAATTCCTATCAGCCTCAGTCCCTTCCTTTTCTCCCTCAACGACTGAAGCTTAGTGCTTAAGGAAGCTTCCTCTACAACAGGCCCGGGCCACCTTGTAGGTTTTCTGTAGACTGTATGGCCCAATAGTTGGTTGGGTTTGTGGATGAGTAGGACATCTAGGAATGGCAGTTTTCCAGATGGTTATTATTTGGGTCATCCTTTTTGAAGTTTGATCAGGACCATATTTCCCCTCCTCTAATCTGCTGGGACTTCTCCAAGAACTTTTCCATTCTCCAAGGTGATTGCCAGTGGTTCCAAAATGACTTCCACACATACATACAGAGCAACTTGGGCAACCAGGGCAACTTGGGTCCTCCCAGTGTTGTGGACTTCAACTCCCACAATTCCTAGCAGCCTCAGGTCCCTTCCTTTTTTCCCCTCAGCCGCTTAAGGTGAGGTTATGGGCCCAGCACTCAGCTTAAGCAGCTGAGCGGGGAGAGGAAGGGGCCTGAGGCTGCTAGGAATTGTGGGAGTTGGAGTCCAAAACACCTGGAGGGCCCAAGTTGGCCACATATCTGGAATTATCCATACATACACGTATACATGTATGTATGTGTGGAAGCCATTTTGGAACCATTAACAATCATCTTTGAGAGTTCTTGGAGAATGGAGAAGTTCTTGGAGAAGTCCCAGCAGATTAAAGGAGGGCAAATATGGTCCTGATTGATCTTCAAGAAGGACAACTCAAATAATTACCATCTGAAAAACTGCCATTCCTAAATGTCCTACTCATCCACAAACCCAACCAACTATTGGGCCACACAGTCTACAGAAAACTTACATACACCAGTAGATACCACTGCCATTCCTACTCATCCACAAACCCAATCAATTAGTCCGTACAGTTGACAGAAAACATACACACATGTATAGATACCTACATAAGAACTCCAACCATTACCCAAGTCAACCATCCAAGTCAACCTACATAAGAACTCCAACCATCACCCAATGGAGACTCCACCACAGACATCAGAAGAGCTGCAAGACCAAGAACAGGCCAGGAGAGTCAAGTCAAAGATCCACCCAGAGGAAATGTGTTCTTCCCATAGATCAAGGGAACCACTGACCGCAAAAGGAAGCTGATAAAGGAACTCAACCCATATTATTGGATAACTCAGACATTTTTGACCACTCTAAGAACTACCATGTCAGGCTACACAGAGAAGCCATTGAAATCCACAAGAAGCATGTAGACAATTTCAACAGAAAGGAGGAAACGATGAAAATGAACAAAATTGGCTATCAGTATTTTTTAAAAAATCTAAAATCAGGACAGTAAATAAAGAACAACATTCAGAAAATGGGAATTCCAGACATGAATCAACCAGGGCCAGCTAACACCTCCCAAGAAGAAATTTGCCCCAATTCTGTCGTCTATGGGGCTCAGAATGCTCTTTGATTGTAGGTAAACTATAAATCCCAGTAAATACATCTCCCAAATGTCAAGGTCTATTTCCCCCAAACTCCATCTGTGTTCCTATTTGGTCATATGGAATATTTGTGCCAAGTTTGGTCCAGATCCATCATCGTTTGAGTCCACAGTGGTCTCTGGATGTAGATGAATTGCAACTCCCAAAGTCAAGGTCAATGCCCACCAAACCCTTCTAGTGTTTTCTGTTGGTCATGGGAGTCCTGTGTGTCACCTTTGGTTCAATTCCATCCCTGGTGGAGTTCAGAATGCTCTTTGATTGTAGATGAACTATAAATCCCAGCAACTACAACTCCCAAATGACAAAATCAAAAAATTTTGAGTGAAGGACATACATTGGGTTGTTCGGTGTATTCTGTCCAAATTTGGTGTCAATTCGCCCACTGGTTTTTGAGTTCTGTTTATCCCACAAATGAACATTACATTTTTATTTATATAGATGCTGCTTAAGACCCAATCAACCTCACTCCTCAGGATGCCTGGTTCTAATTCACTCACCACACTGTCAAAACTATCCTCGATACTATTATCCTTCCTATACAGATCTTCTGTATAGTCTTGTTGTTTCTTCTCTTGATCATACTTATGAGGATCCCATGCCGTGATGTCAGCTCCTCTTCTCCTCCTCTTTTCCAGTGCACCCCTTATGGCAGAGCCCCATCACTATCCCGGGAGGCAGCCGCCAGTCACCCATCAACATCCAATGGAGAGACAGCCTTTTCGACCCTCGCCTTAAACCCTTGGAGATACGCTACGACCCGGCCACGTGTCTCCACATGTGGAACAATGGCTACTCCTTCCTGGTCGAGTTTGAGGACACCAGCGACAAGTCAAGTAATTGAATTATAATATTGTGATTAGAATTGTATTGTGATTTTGGGGACACAACTGAGTTTTATTTTCCTCTAAACTGCCATATAATCCGGTTTCTGAATCTAGGGCTGAATCGACACTGCCCTATATCCCAGGATCCGATCCCAGATTATCTGCTTTGAACTGAATTGTATGAGACTCCTTCTACACTGCCCCATAATACAGATTATCAAAGCAAATAAACCACTATGTGCCAGATAATCCCGTTCAAGACAGATCATCTGGATTTTATATTACAGTGTAGAAGGGGCCTCATAATCTGGTTTAAATCAGATAATCTGGATTATATGGCAGTGTAGAAGAAGCCTCATATAATCCGGTTCAAATCAGATAATCTGGATTATATGGCAGTGTAGAAGGAGCCTCATATAATCCGGTTCAAAGCAGATGATCTTGATTATATAGCAATATAGAAGAAGCCTCATATAATCCGGTTCAAAGTAGATAATCTGGATTATATAGCAATGTAGAAGGAACCTCATATAATCTGCTTCAAAGCAGGTGATCTGGATTATATGGCAGTGTAGAAGAGGCCTCATATAATCCAGTTCAAAGCAGGTAATCTGGATTATATGCCAATGTAAAAAGGACCTCATAAAATACAGTTCAAAGCAGATAATCTGGATTATATAGCAGTGTAGAAGGGGCCTCATATAATCTGCTTCAAAGCAGATCATGTGGATTCTTTGCTTTGATCATCTGGATTATATGGCAGTGTAGAAGAGGCCTCGTATAATCTGCATCAAAGCAGATAATTGGGATTATATGGCAGTGTAGAAGAAGCCTCATATAATCTGTTTCAAAGCAGATAATCTGGATTATATAGCAATGTAGAAGAAGCCTCATATAATCTGGTTCAAAGCAGATCATGTGGAGTCTTTGCTTTGCTCATCTGGATTATATGGCAGTGTAGAAGAGGCCTCGTATAGTCTGCATCAAAGCAGATAATCTGGATTATATAGATCCAGTATGAAGGTGTGTGTACACTGTAAAATTGATCCAGTTTGACACTGCTTTGAACCGCCCTGGCTCACGGCTATAGCATTTTAGGAGTTCCCAATGGAAAAAAGTTCCTTAACGGCATCATTAAATGTTAATGAAAGAAAAGGTTGCTTATCGCTTATGCTGTGTGCGCTGATAAGATGTGGCATAATGTTCTTGAAATCACCTAGAAGGCAAGATAAGCGCAGTCTTTTTCAATGCTCTCGATCCCTTTGGAATTGTTTAAACCCACCAGGAAGTGAATGCGTCCAGAGTATTGGCGCAACTTTCCCTTCCACTTTTCAAACCAAAACATTATATTCAACGTAAACTGTATTGAAAAGGTATATTAGCGCATTCGCTGCATATAGTGTCCCAGTGGGCGTTCAGTGCTTAAGAGAGTTGTGTGTTATCTCAAAAAGCCATTCACTGATAAGCTTTAAACATGAATCTTTTTAGCGCACACTTCATTAGCGGAACATCTAATAGCATTCATCTGGTGCATTCTATGCTGATTGTTGTTGTTGTTGTTGTTATTATTATTATTATTATTATTATTATTATTATTATTAATAGTATTAATATTATTTTGCTGGTTTACACATTCCCGGCTTTCTCAAGATGCCCAAAAATATCTAAAAATTGGAGAATTATATTGAGAGCTGGATTGCTGTGAATATTGTCTGATCAGATTGGGTATTGCTGGGTGAAGTGGCCTTCTTTGGTGGCACTGTGTTGGCTCTTGTGGGTGAATTGGCCCAATGCGGTGTCACTGTGTTGGCTGTTGCTGGGTGGAGTGGACCTCTGTGATGTCACTGGCTTTGCTGTTGCTGGGTGGAGTAGCCCTCTGTGATGTCACCAGATTGGCTGTTACTGGGTGGAGTGGACCTCTGTGGTGTCACTGGGTCGGCTGTTGCTAGGTGAAGTGGCCCTTTGTGATGTCACTGGCTTTGCTGTTGCTGCCTTCTGTGGTGTCACTGACTTTATTGTTACTCGGTGGAGTGGACCTCTGTGAAGTCACTGAGTTGGCTGTTGCTGGGTGAAGTGGCTCTCTGCAGGGACTCTGGATCGGCAGTTGCTGGGTGGAGTGGCCCTTTGTGATGTCACTGGCTTTGCTGTTGCTGCCTTCTGTCGTGTAACCGGCTTTATTGTTACTTGGTGGAGTGGACCTTTGTGGTGTCACTGAGTTGGCTGTTGCTGGGTGGAGTGGCCCTTTGCAGCATCACTGCATCGGCTATTGCTAGGTGAAGTGGCCCTTTGTGACGTCACTGGCTTTGCTGTTGCTGCCTTCTGTGGTGTCACCCAGCTTTATTGTTGCTGGGTGGAGTGGACCTCTGTGGTGTCACTGAGTTGGCTGTTGCTGGGTGAAGTGGCTCTCTGCAGGGACTCGGCAGTTGCTGGGTGGAGTGGCCCTTTGTGATGTCACTGGCTTTGCTGTTGCTGCCTTCTGTGGTGTCACCGGCTTTATTGTTACTTGGTGTAGTGGACCTCTGTGATGTCACTGAGTTGGCTGTTGCTGGGTGAAGTGGCCCTTTGCAGGATCACTGCATCGGCTGTTGCTAGGTGGAGTGGCCCTTTGTGATGTCACTGGCTTTGCTGTTGCTGCCTTCTGTGGTGTCACTGGCTTTCTTGTTGCTGTGTGGAGTAGCCCTCTGTGATGTCACCGGGTTGCCTGTTGCTGGGTGAAGTGGCCCTTTGTTATGCCACTGATTTGGCTGTTGCTGAGTGAAGTGGCCCTCTGCGGTGTCACCGGGTTCGCTGTTGTTGGGTGAAGTGGCCCTTTGTTATGCCACTGACTTGGCTGTTGCTGAGTGAAGTGACCCTCTGTGGTGTTACCGGATTCGCTGTTGCTGGGTGAAGTGGCCCTTTGTTATGCCACTGGCTTGGCTGCTGCAGAGTGAAGCGGCCCTCTGCGGTGTCACCAGATTGGATGCTGCTGGGTGATTGCTATATCTTCCAGCAACTTCTGCTGGAAGCTGGCCTAGAGAGCCCTAGGGAAGTGTTCTCTCTCGAAATCTCTAGCAAGACTATAGGCAGTTGGCTGGAGAGTTAAACTGGAAAACGTAAGGGATTCCTATTGAGAAATGTTGTAATCAAATCTGTTAATCAGATCTAGTAAAGGTAAAGATTATCCCCTGACATTAAGTCTAGTTGTGTCTGACTCTGGGAGTTGGTGCTCATCTCCTTTTCTAAGCCAAAGAGCCGGCGGTGTCCATAGACACCTCCATGGTCATGTGGCCAGCATGACTGCACGGAATGCTGTTACAAAGGTCAAAACTCCAAACGTGGAGGGACGGCTGCACTTACTCCGAATCCTTCTGGTCCTTTGAATGGCCCTATTTTCAACAAGTTACAATTATTCTGCTTGATAACTCCTTTTCATGATCTAAACATAATCTCGTGCTAAATTTTGATTGAATTATTCGCTTTAGAATTACTGGTAGATGTAAAACCTTAAATTAACCCCTGCTTCTTCCTTCTGTTGCAACCCTCAGTCTTTTCCTGTACTAGAAATCCTTTTTCATGTCGTTGAAAATGTAGACCTGTCCTTGATTCCTTTGCACCTTCCCTCCTGCCTTTCCGGAGTCCTCCTAACCTGCACTTCTTTCTCTTCTGCGCTCCCTTCTTCCTTTTGTGTTTTTTTCTCTCTTTTGCATTCAGCAAAAAAATTAGAAACAGATAGAGAAGAGGAAAAAAAGGAATGGATTAGAAGTTTAAAGCTGCTTTAAAAAGGAAACAAAATGCAGGAAGCTTTCGATAAAGGAACATGGGATTTGTAAGTGGTAGGAATGCTGCACTCAACGCAAATGGGATTCATACCAAAGGTGAGGAGCCTACGTTCTGCTGCTGGATGTATAGATAGAAGGAAAGTAAATAAAATGGAAAATGAGAAATCAGTCAGCAAGAAATATCCAGAAGTGCTTGTTCCTGTTCCTTTCTTTGAAAGGCATTCCTTGTACTACTTACTGCAAAAATAAATATTGCAAATATAAATAAGTAAACAAATATTGCAAAAATAAATAAGTAAATAAATATTGCAAATATAAATAAGTAAATAAATATTGCAAATATAAATAAGTAAATAAATATTGCAAATATATTGGTTAGGTGCATAAGTATCATTTTGCCACAAGATGGCAATCGTGGATCGCCTCTTTGCTGTGTTTCTCTCTCTCACTATTTCTGTGCAAATACTGAAATACTTGAGAAAAGAGATGGAAAAGTAGCTCTCCTTTTGGAGATGGGTTTGGGCCATTTATATTAATCATAGAATCATAGAGTTGGAAGAGACCTCATGGGCCATCCAGTCCAAACCCATTCTGCCAAGAAGCAGGAAAATTGCTTTCAAAGTACCCACGACAGATGTCCATCCAGCCTCTGTTTAAAAGCCTCCAAAGAAGGAGCCTCCGCCACACTCCGGGGCAGAGAGTTCCACTGCTGAACAGCTCTCACAGTCAGGAAGTCCTTCCTAATGTTCAGATGGAATCTCCTTTCTTGCAATTAATTCCTTCCTCAGTCCGGATCTCCCTCCCCAATAATTTCCATTGCCCAATCTCCCAGTGTTTTAAAATTTTGAATTTTATCCTTAAATTTGGCCCTGCCCCGTGTAATCCTGTGTGTTTTATGTCCGATTTTATACTGCTGTCTCGCTTATTATTTTGGTTTTGTATTTTATGTTTTAATGTTTTAGTTCTGTTGTGCTTTGTGTTACACTGTGCTATGCTTTTGTGTAATATTGTGTTTACTGTATTGATGGCATGGCCTTATGTAAACCACCCCGAGTCCCCCTGGGGGAGATGGAGGGGGGTATAAATAAAATTGTTGTTGTTGTTGTTGTTGTTATTATTATTATTATTATTATTATTATTATTATTATTTGGAGCCCCCGGTGGCGCAGTGGGTTAAAGCCCTGTGCTGGCAGGACTGAAGACCGACAGGTCACAGGTTCGAATCCGGGGAGAGGCGGATGAGCTCCCTCTATCAGCTCCAGCTCCTCATGCGGGGACATGAGAGAAGCCTCCCACAAGGATGATAAAACATCAAATCATCCGGGCATCCCCTGGGCAACGTCCTTGCAGACGGTCAATTCTCTCACAACAGGAGCGACTTGCACGCTCCTGACACGACAAAAAAAAAATTATTATTGTAGTTTGAAACCATTATTCTGTGTCCTAGTCTCCAGAGCAGCAGAAAACAAGCTTGTTCCCTCCTCCCTATGACTTTCTCTCGCATACATGGCTATCATGTCTCCTCTCGGCCTTCTCATCTTCAAACTAAACATGCCCAGCTCTTTAAGCCGCTCCTCATAGGGCTTGTTCTCCAGACCCTTGATCATTTGAGTCGCCCTCCTCTGGACACATTCCAGCTTTTCAACATCTCCAGTTGTGGTGAATGGGGAGACAGAGCGTCAAAAACACACAAATGCACCTTTTTTTTTTTTTTTTTTGTCGTGTCAGGAGCGACTTGAGAAACTGCAAGTCACTTCTGGTGTGAGAGAATTGGCCGCCTGCAAGGATGTCGCCCAGGGGATAAAAATGTTTTATCGTCCTTGTGGGAGGCTTCTCTCATGTCCCCGCATGAGCTGGAGCTGATAGAGGTAGCTCATCCGCGCTCTCCCCAGATTCGAAGCTGCATCCTCTCCGTCTTCAGTCCTGCCAGCATAGGGGTTTAACCCACTGCGCCACCGGGGGCTCCTATGCAGTTCCATGAAAGATACACATCAAACATTTCTGTGCAATGCACATGAATCACACAGGACAGAGACACACAGTTGTGTATATAGAATGATGACAGAAATGTCTTCTCCCCTAATACGTTTGCTTTTCTGATGCGCAGTTATTACCGGAGGCCCCTTGGAAAACAACTACCGGCTGAAGCAGTTCCACTTTCATTGGGGGGCCATCAACGAATGGGGCTCCGAGCACACCGTTGACTGCAAGGTCTTCCCAGCAGAGGTAAGATTATTGGCAACCTGTGATGCTTATGGCAAAGCAATGGGGTTTTCTTGGCAGAATTACTCCGAAGGAGCTTTGCCTACCTCGGAGGATGAGAGAGTGCGACTTTGCCATGGTCCCTCAATGGGTTTCAATGGCCGAATATTAATTCCTGGTGGCTCTTGGCAGGCAATTCTGTCCAAGCTCTGGCTGGCCTCTGGAGTGGGGAAATGGCCAGAGTGATGGATACAGTTGCTCCTGAACGTCCCCTCTCACGGAGCAGAGCCAAACCAGCTGTTGCACTAGAACCCTGAAACACCTTTTCACCACAAACCACACTCTGTCCAGGTAATCCATGTTGCAGTAAGTCATAGCAGTAATGCACTCTATGTGGGGCTGCCCTTGAAGACGGCCCGGAAACTACAACTTGTCCAATATTCAGCAGCCAGGTTAATAACTGGGGCGACTTACAGAGAGCGGTCAACCCCCCTGTTTAAGGAGCTCCACTGGCTGCCGTTTATTTTCCAGTCCCAATTCAAGGTGCAGGTTATCATCTATAAAGCCCTAAACGGTTTGGGACCTGCCTACCTTTGTGACCGTATCTCCCGCTATGAACAAGCTCAGGCCCTCCGTTCTACTGGGGAGGCCCTTCTTTCACCCCTACCAATTTCACAAGTTTGCCTGGTAAGTACGAGGGAGAGAGCTTTTTCCTCTGTGGCCCCCCGACTCTAGAACACACTAACTGGAGAAATTAGGAAAGCCCCTCCCCTAGAAACCTTTAAAAAGAACCTTAAAACCTGGCTCTTCTGCTGCGCCTTTGATGAGTAGGTATACAATCTCACATTATTGCTTAACCTCAATGTTTTTTTGTAATACCTCTATATATTACCTGTCAGGTTCAGCTCTTTTAATTTTTGTCCATTACATTTGGCCCGGCCCCTAGGTTTATAATTGCGTCACGGTGTTATTGTTTTACTGTTCTATTGTTTTGCTTGATGTTTTATTATTTGCTTATGAGTTTTACTGTGTATTGTATGTTGTTGTTGTCGGCGGCCTTGGCCTTTGTAAGCCGCATCGAGTCCTTCGGGAGATTTTGCGGGGTATAAATAAAGTTAATAATAAAATAATAATAATAATAATAATAATAATAATAATAATTGGAGTATATGTCCGTCCGTCCCCCCTCCCCCCTCGGGGGAAAGCCTGATTCCACAACCACCACTATAATGAGTACCGTCTCTCTTTTATCTCGCCCGAGTTTTTAATTAGTTTTAATCAGTTTTTCTTTTAATCATTACATGTAGCCCACCCATTGTCATTGTCATGGTGCTTATTGTAATTTTATATTGCTATATATTCACATGTTTTATGTAATTATGTTGTTGTTTATTGTTTGGGTTTTCGGTTTGTGTTTTCGGTTTTATCTTATTGTAAATTGTTGTTTGGGCTTGGCCTCATGTAAGCCGCTCCGAGTCCCCATTGGGGAGATGGTGGCAGGGTATAAATAAAGTTTATTATCATATTATTATTATTATAGCAGGACCAAGTGTGTGTGTGTTGAAGAAAAAACGTATGGTGGTAATTATTATGTACAGCTGGTAATGTAGGTCAACCAGTAAGCTAGGACCACACCCTATAGGGTATAATTGTATGAGCTTTTAGAATACTGTGTGGGTGTGCTAGGCGGAGAGCTTTAGGAAAGCTTTTTCTGTGAGGAGATCTATGCTCAAAGGCTTTGCTCTAGGGAGCAGTTTGGAAAAGCTACTCTGAAGGAGGCTATGGCGGAATAGCTATTTACTCAAGGTTTATTTTTGCTCTCTCATTTGATGTAAGATGAAGATGACTTATTTTGTGTTACTTACAAAGACTATGTAAGTTTCTTGCACTGTTTGATTTTTGTATGCAAGTTTATGTTTCATCTCCACTGAGTAAAGAGTAAAGATTTTTCTGTTCATTTTTACTCTGGTCTGTGAGTCTTTTTGCATTCGGACTTTGGGTGCTGGGTAAAATCCACTGCTGCGTAACAATCCAGTAAGTAAAAGTTTATTTAAAGAAGAGCATATAAAAAGCAGCAAATTAAAAAAAAAGACTCAGAGTTTGAAGGCCTATTGCCTCATGTAAGCCGCCCTGAGTCTCCTTTGGGGAGATGGTGGCGGGGTATAAATAAAGTTGTTTATTATTATTATTATTATTATTATTATTATTATTATATTCCGCCCTTCTCACTCCAAAGGGGACTCAGAGTGGAGCACAACATATAAAGAGTGAAGATAGAGGGGAGCAGAAGACAGTTCCATCTTGTCTTTACTAATAATATAATATAGTATATTATATATACATATAATATTTATAATATTATAATGTAATACAATATAATACTAGTAATAATAATAATACAATATTATAATTATAATTATATATTTACATGACATGTAATATATGTAATGTACTATGATATTGTACTATGCTAATAATATAATATATTGTATGAAAATATATCTTGTAAGCTGCTCTGAGTCCCCTTCGGGATGAGAAGGGTGGCATATAAATGCCATAAATGAATAAATAAATGGCAAACATTTAATGCCGAAACATACTAGACTACACACATACAAAAACATTAAAATCACTTATTTTGATGTTAAAATCCTCTGTTTAAAACTGTCCCAAACAACCATATTGAATCTGGTTGGCATACTAAGAATTCCTATCACTGCCTCATTACATAGTCCCAAAGGCTCGGTCCCACAGCCATGTTTTTATCATCCCTCTAAAGGACAAGGGGGGGGGGGGGCTGACCTAACATCATTAGGAAGATAATGCCACACATGAACTAAAAGCAAGAACATAGAGGACCCAAAAACGAGAGCTGTTCCCCTGAAGACAACATTGCTCTCACAAAGGATTGTACCAGTAGGAACCACTTTAAAAGGCCTCAATCTTTCCCATAACATCATTGCTCATACACCTGCTTTTCCTCTCCTTAACTCTAAGCCTCTGGGAAAAGCAAGTCTTTAATAATGCCTTTTTAAAAAATATTTTTATTAAGAAAAGGAGATTGCTCCAACAGATACGAGCGAGCTAGAAAGAATCATCAAAAGTGTGAGAGCAATTTTTTTTAGAAAAGTAGGAAAAAAGAGAAATATATTTAACCTAAAACCTAAAATAAACACAGTCCAAGAAAAAAGGAAGAGAAAAAAAAGAAAAGAATGATCCAAATTTTTTTTAAGTGTGTTGACTTCTTACTAAACCGCCTCCAAAAGAAAAAAGATTATCACTATATAATTCCAAGAATATGATTCTCCCCCTCAAATAAACAGTTATATACTTAATTATTATCTTCACGGCTTAGGTATTCATTAAAGGCTGTCCAGTCCATTCTTTTCACGCCTTTTCTATTATTTTGTCTTAACAAAAATGTCAATTCATCCATGTTCTTTATTTCCATTATTTTGTCTATCCATTGCGATTTGGAGGGGATTGAATCCAGTTTCCATGATTTTGCAAAAACCGCTCTCGCTGCCGTAACACAAAAAGTGAAGAGTTTATCCAAGTTAGTGTCCTTAAAGGTCTCCCTCCCGAACATTCCTAAAAGATAAAGCTCTGGTTTCATTTGAAAGTCAATTTTTAAAATTTTCTTGCACTCAATATGTACCATTTTCCAATAGTCTTTTGCTCTTTCACAAGTCCACCACACATGGAAATATGTACCTTCGTGTACTTTACATTTCCAGCATTTATTATCCATATTTTTTTACAACATCCCTATTTTTTTGGTGTAATATAGCATTTTTAACCAATTTTCTTTGAGATCGGTGGCATATGTGTACTTTAAATGTTTTTTTCCAAATTTCTTCCCATTCCTTTAGATTAATTTGTTGGCCGATATTCCTTGCCCATTTTATCATGTAGTTAGTAACGCCTTTTAAAAGAACACAGCAATGATGAGCTTTGCAGGCTCCCAGCCCCTCCTTGCAGACTGGAATTTTCCAGTTTAATGCACCAACTGGGTCCAGTTGTGTCTCTGGTCACGCAAAGCCTATTGTACAGACGGTCATATATTTGCAAAGCCAATGCCGATATAATTTCTATTCTGCAGTCACTTTTGTGCAAAGGTGCAAAGCGGTGCAACTGAGCTCATAGGGGAATTTTCGCTCCACTAACATTGAAATGGATTTGTTCTTGTTTGTCTGATTCCGTTCCCAGGGATTGAGTGGCTATGCAAACATCTCTCTTGGTGTCCAGTCAGCATATAGGCATATATTGGGCCGCTAGCCATCGTTGGTGGCCATCTTTGGCCTGGCAATGCATTTGCAAGACCTGTAAAATAAATGTGTTCCCTTTTGTGTCTCCCAGCTGCATTTAGTCCACTGGAATTCTTGCAAATATGAAAGCTTTGAGGAAGCTTTAATGGAGGAAAATGGCTTGGCCGTCATTGGAGTCTTTCTGAAGGTAAGTTGGTTGTAAGATTGGATCATCAATAGTTGCTTTTAGATTGTTGTTGACATCACAAACACAGTGGAAATAACCCGTTTTATTTTTATTTTTGTAATAAAATTTTGGTTTATATACGACAATGACAATTTTATTACGGTCCATAGACCCATCAGTAAAACCAATATTACAGTATTATTACAATAACAACAAATGGAAGACATAGCCTGTGGTTCATTGAAACTACTGCAGGAACAAGGGAGGGATTCATCATTTGACGTCCCAACAAATGTTCTATCTTTTCTTCGTTGAAGAGTAATGTCATAAAATTACAGACTTTTTAATCAAAACTTGAATCTCAAATGAAAACACATGGTTTCTGTCTTTGCCTTCATAGCTTGGAGCCAATCACAGCGGATTGCAGAAGTTAGTCGATGCCTTGCCCTCCATTAAGCACAAGGTTAGGTCAAGTCTTAGTGTGAACTGGGATTGCGTTTTCTTTTTGCTTCTTCTCTTCCTTTCTCTGTTTCCTTCATACACCTTCTCACTCTCCTGTCTTTCCTTCCCCTCATACACTTTCCCTCTTCTTTCTTCCTTCTCTTCTTTCTTCCTTCCCCTCATACACCTTCCCCTTTCCTCCTTCCTTCGTTCCTTCCTTCCTTCCTTCCTTTCCCACATACACCTTCCCCTCCCTCCCTCCCTTCCCTTCATACACCTTCCCCTTTCCTCCTTCCTTCCTTTCCCTCATACACCTTCCCTTTTCCTCTCTCCATCCCTTCCCCTCATACAACTTCCCCTTTCCTCCTTCCTTTCCTTCCTTCCCTCCATCCCTTCTCCTCCCTCCCTCCTTCCCTTCCCTTCTCTTTCCCTTTCCCCTTCTTCCTTCCCCTCATACACTTCCCCTTTCCTCCTCCTTCCCCTCCCTTCCCTCCTTTCCCTTCCTTCCTCTCCTCCTCCCTTCCTTCCTTCCCCTCATACACCTTCCCCTTTCCTCCTTCCTTCCTTTCCCTCATACACCTTCCCCCCCCCTCCCTTCCTTCCCTTTCCCTCTTTCTCCCTTCCCTTCCTTCTTCCTTCCTTTCCTTCCTTCCTTCCTTCCTTCCTTCCTTCACTTTCTCTCCCCCCTCTCCCCCGGTGGTTAAATCGCTGAGCTGCTGAACTTGCTGACCAAAAGGTTGGCGGTTTGAATCCAGGGACGAGGGTGAGCTCCTGCTGTTAGCCCCAGTTCCTGTATTATTATATAACAAAATCATTTATTATTATTATTATTATTATTGACACAAAAGCACAGTATGTCACAGCAAACGAGATCTATATGCTGGATTTCGTATCACAAAATCACAAGTTGAACACTTCCCAAGCATCTAGTACTATGTGATGTATATAATATAAATATAATATATTATAGTATTATTATTATTATTATTATTATTATTGTTATATTTGTAACGCAACAAGATGAGTCCACAGCAGACACTCTGCAGGCTGTTGAATTGGGTCACACATTATTATTATTATTATTATTATTATTATTATTATTATTATTTCTTACCCTCCTTAACTCCCACCTTGAGGCCAGACACAACATTGTTGAATTATAAAATATGTAAGATACATATAAATAAAAACTTATTTCTACAATATAATATGTTATATTGTACAATGTAATATATTTTTAGGTTCTTGTAGGTTTTTTCGGGCTATAGGGCCATGTTCTAGAGGCATTTCTCCTGACGTTTCGCCTGCATCTATGGCAAGCATCCTCAGAGGTAGTGAAGTCTGTTGGAAATAGGAAAAATGGGTTTATATATCTCTGGGATGACGGGTGGGGCAAAGAGCTCTCTGCTGAAGCTAGGTGTGAATGTTTCAGCTGACCACCTTCATTAGCATTTGAAGGCTTGGCTGAGCCTGGGAAAATGTTCTGTTGAGAGGTGTTAAGATGTGCCTGGTTGTTTCCTCTCTGCTGTTTTGCTGTAGTAATTTTAGAGCGCTGCGTTTGGGACCACCAAACGCAGCATTGCCCAAACACGAATCAAGGAACATGAAAGGCACTGCAGACTACTTCAACCAGAGAAGTCAGCCATAGCAGAGCACCTGATGAACCAACCTGGACACAGCATTATTTGAGAACACAGAAATGCTGGACCACTCTAACAACCACCATGTCAGACTACACAGAGAAGCCATTGAAATCCACAAGCATGTGGACAATTTCAACAGAAAGGAGACCATGAAAATGAACAAAATCTGGCTACCAGTATTAAAAAACTCTAAAATTACTACAGCAAAACAGCAGAGAGGAAACAACCAGGCACATCTTAACACCTCTCAACAGAACATTTTCCCAGGCTCAGCCAAGCCTTCAAATGCTAATGAAGGTGGTCAGCTGAAACATTCACACCTAGCTTCAGCAGAGAGCTCTTTGCCCCACCCCGGTCATTCCACAGATATATAAACCCATTTTCCTATTTCCAACAGACCTCACTACCTCTGAGGATGCTTGCCATAGATGCAGGCGAAACGTCAGGAGAAATGCCTCTAGAACATGGCCCTATAGCCCAAAAAAACCTACAAGAACCTAGTGATTCCAGCCATGAAAGCCTTCGACAATACATTAATATATTTTTAATTGTGTAATGATAATACATTGTGTGGTTTGTATTTTTGTATATGAACACATGTTGTGAACTGCATCTGAGTCCCTCTTGGAGGTGAGAAGATCGGTATAGAAAACTTTTAAATAAATAAATAAATAAATAAATAAATACAATAGACTTATGCAGAACAGAGCTTAAAGTACACTCCTTTGACTTTTCTATGTAGAGATTGTCTGAATGCTGCATGTAGGTTTTGCATCTATACTGAAAAACTCTGCAAAATGTGGATGTGTGTGAGAGAGCTTGCAGATGGGCATAAAAGCACAAAAGAAGGCCAAGGGCTGAGACCTGCACAGACTTATAAGCCTTGGGTTTTGTGAGGAAGTTTGTCCCCTTGCAAACAATCCAGACTGACTATTGTCCCGCTGCTTGGCTTTACTAGGATGACCTGGTGGAGTTTGAAGAGTTTGACCCGTCCTGCCTCTTGCCGTCCTGCACGGATTACTGGACGTATTCGGGGTCCTTGACCACCCCGCCGCTCTCTGAGTCCGTCACCTGGATCATCAAGAAGAAGGCCATCGAAGTCGACGAGGACCAGGTACGTTCAATGGGGACCCACCTGTTGCAAAATAGGGCAAAGTCCCAAATCCATATAAAACAGCCCAGCCAAAAATGCACATTGTAGGTTCTTCCAAAGCGTTTTGGGCTTCTTTAGGCAAAGATACTTAAAGTTATATAGAAGAGGAAAAGGATGTTAAAGTCTCAGACTGACATTTTGTCAAGATGCCATCAGTTCAAATAATAATAATTATAATCATCATCATCATCGACACACTGGGTACAGTACTTAAAGACCTTGGCCTACTCTCAAACACAATCGGCGCTGACAAAATTACCAGTTCAAATAATAATAATTATAACCATCATCATCGGCACACTGGGTACAGTACCTAAAGACCCTGGCTTGCACTCAAACACAATCGGCACTGACAAAATTACCAGTTCAAATAATAATAATTATAATCATCATCGTCGGCGCACTGGGTGCAGTACCTAAAGACCTTGGTCTGCACTCAAACACAATTGGCGCTGACAAAATTACCAGTTCAAATAATAATTATTATCATCATCATCATCATCGGCACACTGGGTACAGTGCCTAAAGACCCTGGCCTGCACTCAAACACAATCGGCGCTGACAAAATTACCAGTTCAAATAATAATAATTATAATCATCATCGTCGGCACACTGGGTACAATGCCTAAAGACCTTGGCCTGCACTCAAACACAATCGGCGCTGACAAAATTACCATCTGCCAACTGCAGAAGGCCACCTTACTGGGATCTGCACACATTATTCGTCGATACATCACACAGTCCTAGATACTTGGGAAGATACGTGTGATCCAATACAACAACCAGTACAGTTATCTTGTTTGCTGTGTACTAATCTTGTTGTGCATCAAATAATAAATATAAATATAAACATAAAATAATATTTAAAAAATAATAAAAAATAATAAGTCAAATAATAATAATAATAATAATAATAATAATAATAATAATAATAATAATAAAGAATGGCACAAGAGTGCAGAGAGTGGTCATTGCGGTCTTTGGCCATATGAGCAAAGACAAAGAGCCATAAATATTAGGCAGTGAGATGCCCAACGCCATTAGCAACAGAAACAGCAACTTCCTTTGAGATTCAGCAATGAAAACAAACACCTTGACAAAATAAAAGCCCGTGACTAACATCATCACAGTCAACAATAAAGCCATAGATACCTTGGAATATGGCAGGGCTTAAAGTGATGATTGAAACCATTCTTGGGTTATCTTCCCACTTATTGTTTATCTGTGGTTTAAGGAATATGCTGAGCTTATGGGAAGTGACACACCTGAAACCCAACCGCCAGCATTCTTTTTAAAGAATCACAGAATCAAAAGGGACCCCCAAAGGCCATCCAATCTGACCCCATTATTCTGCCAGGAAGGAAGACACCATCCGATCCCTCTCGAGAGATGGCCATCCAACCTCATAGTCATGAGCAGGCTCATGGAGAACTAGGTCTATAATGCCAGAGTCTCCTAGAGTCAGTAGAGACTCTATCCAATATGATATCATTATTCTGTCAGACAGGAAGACACAATCCGATCCCTCTCAACAGATGGCCATGCAACCTCATAGACATTAGCAAGTGCAAGGAGAAATTGGTCTATAGTGTCATCTGCCAGGCAGAAAGACACAATCCGATCCCTCTCAACAGATGGCCATGCATCCTCATAGACATTAGCAAGTGCAAGGAGAAATTGGTCTATAGTGTCAGAAGAGACCTCAAGGGCCATCTGCCAGGCAGAAAGACACAATCCGATCCCTCCCAACACATGACGATGCATGCAGCCTCACAGACATTAGCAGGCCCATGGAGAAATAGGGCTATAGAATCAGAAGAGACCTCAAGGGCCGTCCAGTTTGACCCCATTATTCTGCTAGTTAGAAAGACACAATCTGATCCCTCCCGACAGATGGCCATGCAACTTCATTGACATTAGAATGCCCATGGAGAAATAGGGCTATAGAGTCGGAAGAGACCCCAAGTGCCATCCAGTCTGACCCCATTATTCTGCTAGTTAGGAAGACACAATTTGATCCCTCCCAGCAGATGGCCATGCAACCTTATAGACACAATCTGAGCCCTCTCAGCAGATGGCCATGCAACCTCATAGACATTAGAATGCCCCTGGAGAAATAGGGTTATAGTCAGAAGTGACCCCAAGCGCCATCCAGTCTGACCCCCATTATTCTGCTAGTTAGAAAGACACAATCCGATCCCTCCTGGCAGATGGCCATGCAACCTCATAAGCATTAGCATGTCCATGGAGAAATAGGGCTATAGAGTCGGAAGGGACCCCAAGGGCCATCCAGTCTGACCCCATTATTCTGCTAGTTAGAAAGAAACAATCTGAGCCCTCCTGGCAGATGGCCATGCAACCTTATAGACACAATTTGAGCCCTCCCGGCAGATGGCCATGCAACCTTATAGACATTATGCCCATGGAGAAATAGGGCTATAGATTCGGAAGGGACCCCAAGGGCCATCCAGTCGGACTGCATTATTCTGTTAGTTAGAAAGACACAATCCAATCCCTCCCAACAGATGGCCATGCAACCTCATAGACATTAGCATGCCCATGGAGAAATAGGGCTATAACGTTGGAAGAGACCCTAAGGGCCGCATTATTCTACCAGGGATGAAGACACAATCCAATCCCTCCCGACAGATGGCCATGCAGCCTCATAGACATGAGCAAGCTCATGGAGAAATAGGGCTATAGTGCCAAAGACTCCAGACTGACCCCATTGTTCTGCCAAGCTGGAAAACAATCTGATCCCTTCCTACAGATGGACATTATAGACATTAGCAGGCTCATGGAGAATTAGAGCTATAGAGTCAGAAGAGACCCTAAGGGCCATCCATTCTGATTTCATTATTCTGCTAGTTAGAAACGCACAATCCGATCCCTCCCTACAGATGGCCATGCAACCTAATAGACAGTAGCTAGTTTATGGAGAAATAGAGCTATAGTGCCAAAAACACCTAGGGTTGGTAGAGAGCCCAAGGGCCATCTAGTGCCAGGGAAGAAGGCACAATCTAATCTCTCTCGACAGATGGCCATGCAGCTTCATAGACATTCGCAAGCTCATGGAGAAATAGAGCTATAGTGTCAAAGACTCCTAGACTCAGAAGAGACCCCAAAGGCCATCCAGTCCAGCCCCATTATTCTGCCAGGCAGAAAGACACAATCCGATCCCTCCTGACAGATGGCCATTCAGCCTCTGCTGAACCTTCTGGCTTTTCTCTGCAGCTGGAGATGTTCCGGATGCTGCTCTTCTCACCGGCCGGAGAGGAAGAGCAGCGGATGGTGGACAACTTCCGCCCACTCCAGCCCATCATGGGCCGCACAGTCCGGGCCTCCTTCCCCACGCAGCACCGCCTGAGCGTCCTGCCAAGGGACCCCATGGAGCAAGAGCCGGAGCCACATCAGGAGACGGCGCACCTTTAAAGCCTGGGAGAAGAGAGGAGGCAACAAACAATGAAGTTGTGAATTTTCCAGGCTGTGTGGCCATGTTCCAGAAGCATTCACTCCTGATATTTCGCCTGCATCTATGGCAGGCATCCTCAGAAGTTTGTTCAGAGGTCTATTAGAAATGAGCCAATGAGGTTTATATATCTCTGGAAAGTCCAGGGTGGGAGAAAGAATGTTTGTCTGATTGACGCAAGTGGGAATGTTGCAAACTGACTTCCTTGATGAGAACTGAATGGCCTTGCAGCTTCAAGGCCTGGCTTTGTTGGGAATGTTGCAATTGGCCAGTTTGATTCACATTGAAAAGCCTTGCAAACTGCCATCAACCAGGAGCCAGTTAACTCCAGACTGCCATCAAACAAGGGCCAATGTATTGTTGAAGGCTTTCATGGCCGGAATCACTGGGTTGTTGTGAGTTTTCTGGGCTGTCTGGCCATGTTCCAGAAGCATTATCTCCTGACGTTTCGCCTGCATCTATGGCAGGCATCCACAGAGGTTGTGAGGTCTGTTGGAAACTAGGAAAATGGGGTTTATATATCTGTGAAATGCCCAGGTGGGAGAAAGAACTCTTGCCTCTTTGAGGTAAGATTCCCCCAGGCAGTAAGCAGCCAGACCTTGAAGCTGCAAGGCCATTAAATGCTAATCAAGGTGGCCAGTTGAAACATTCACACCTGCCTCAAACAGACAAGAGTTCTTTCTCCCACCCTGGACATCATTCCAAGATACCCCACTTGCCTAGTTTCCTACAAAAGACCTACACAACCCAGCAAACACACACAAATATTCTTGGTCTATTCTTGGGATCCTTTGGGGAGCTGATGCAGAACATTGCATTGTATGGACTCTAGTTTCTTAGATACGGTTATCATGATTTTTCTATGGGTGAATAGATGGCAGGTAATAATTATAATAATAATAACTATTATTATTATTATTATTATTATTATTTTATTGTCACAGGCTTTCATGGCTGGAATCACTGAGTTGTTCTGAGTTATTCAGGCTGTCTGACCATGTTCCAGAAGCAATCTCATTTTGCCTACATCTGTGGCAGGCATAGCTAATTACCTCCCAACAAAGGATTCCCCCGGGCAGTAAGAAGCCAGACCTTGAAAATACTAAGCCATGAAATGCTAATCATGCTGGCCAGTTGGAACATACACACCTACCTCCAACAGATAAGAGTTCTTTTTCCTGCATCTATGGCCGGCATAGCTAATTCCCTCCCAACAAAGGATTCCCCCAGGCAGTGAGAAGCCAGACCTTAAAACTACTAGGCCATTAAATACTAATTAATTAATTAATCTGGCCAGTTGGAACAGTCACACCTACCTCCAACAGACAAGAGTTCTTTCTCCCACCCTGGACATGATTCCACAGATATATAAACCCAATTTTCGTAGTTTCCAACAGACCTTATAACCTTTGAGGATGCCTGCCATAGATGCAGACGAAATGTCACGAGAGAATGCTTCTGGAACATGGCCAGACAGCTGGAAAACTCACAACAACCCAATCAAGGGCCAGTTAGCACCTCCCAAACAGAGGATGCTTCCATGCAGCAGCCAGCCAGGCTTTGTAGCTGCAAGGCCATTAAATGCTAATCAAGCTGGCAAATTCCAACATTCTCACTTGCGTCAAACAGACAAGCATTCTTTCACAGATATATAAATCCCATTGCCTCATTTCCAATAGACCTCTGAACAAACTTCTGAGGATGCCTGCCACGATGCAGGTGAAATGTCAGAAGAGAATGCTGCTGGAATATGGTCATACAGCCTGAAAAACTCCCGGCAACCCAGTGATTCTGGCCGGGAAAGCCTTCAACAACACAAAGAAGTTAAGAATATATCCAAGGCCTTGGCAAACTTGGGCCCTCCAGGTGTTTTGGACTGCAATTCCCATCATTCCTAACAGCCAGTCCAAAACACCTGGAGGGCCCAAATTTGCCCAGGCCTGATATACCCGGATGAACAGCTCGAAACCTGAGGCCAGTTGCTTCAAAACAAAGTGGGATATTTTCCTAGTCCTTTACCCTTCTATAACCCTCTTGTCTCTTCTTGCAAAACAAGACTTTCCAAAATTGCATTGTTTTCCAAAATTGCATTCCTGGCATAAAGAATGCATTTGACAATTGGCAAAGCATTGCTTTCATTTTCAAAACAAAACATGCCATATATTTATGTTAGATCCAGTCTTAATCTTGGGTTCGTACGGCTCCATCTTATCTACCTCTGACATGCGTCGACTCCAATGTTACAGCGGTTATCTTTGCTTCTTTTCACTGTATCTCTGCTTCACAGCTGGACTGTTTTGTGATACATAGATATATATTATGGACAGCAAACCAAAAGTGCCTTCTAGGGACCTGTCGATTTACATAGACGTCTAAATAAGGCCAATATGGAAAAATAGTAAAAATAAACAAGACCGAATTCCACAAAAAGGTGTCTGCAATGGGGTCTTTGTGTTTGCATGCAGTGAGTGTTTACCTAAATGGTTAGTATACATTGTGGATTAGATCAGGCCTGGGCAAACTTTGGCCCTCCAGGTGTTTTGGACCGCAGCTCCCACAATTCCTAACAGCCTTCCGGCTGTTAGGAATTGTGGGAGTTGCAGTCCAAAACACCTGAGGGCCAAAGTTTGCCCAGGCCTGGACTAGATGGTCTCATGTGGTCTCTTCCAACTCATTGTTTGCATGTATGTAAACATAACATTGTTTCATAGTATGACTGTCTTTAGATACTATTTTGCACCTAAGCATTGTGCAATAACATGTTGTAATGCAATTATTTTTGTTCCTGGGTTATAAATGTCATTTCCTAATGCAGTGTTTCTCAACCTGGGGGTTGGGACCCCTGGGGAGGTCACAAGGGGGTATCAGAGGGGTCACCAAGGACCGTCAGAAAACACAGTACTTTCTATTGGTCAGGGGAGTTCTGTGAGGGAAGTTTGTCCCAATTCTCTCATTGCTGGAGTTCAGAATGCTCTTTGATTGTAGGTGAACTATAAATCCCCGCAACTACAACTCACAAATGTGAAGGTTTATTTTCCCCAACCTCCTCCAGTGTTCATATTTGGGCATGTTGAGTATTTGTGCCAAGTTTGTCTACATCCACCATTGTTTGAGTCCACAGTGCTCTCTGGATGGAGGTGAACTACAACTCCAGAACTCAAGGTCAATGCCCACCAAACCCTTCCAGTATTTTCTGTTGGTCATGGGAGTTCTGTGTGTCAAAACTGGTTCAGTTCAATTGTTGGTGGAGTACAGAATGCTCTTTGATTGCAGGTGAACTATAAATCCCAGCAACTACAACAAATTACAAAATCAACCCCACCAGTATTCAAATATGAAATTGTCCACATGCTTGTGTATTTCAGTGGCTTCTCTATGTAGTCTGACATGGTGGTTGTGAGAGTGGTCCAGCATTTCTGTGTTCTGCAATAATCTGCCGTGTCCAGGTTGGTTCATCAGGTGCTCTGCTATGGCTGACTTCTCTGGTTGAAGTAGTCTGCCGTGCCTTTCATGTTCCTTGATTCATGTTTGGGCAATGCTGTGTTTGGTGGTCCCTTGAAACACACAAGCCATTGAAATACACAAGCATGTGGACAATTTAAACAGAAAAGAGGAAACCATGAAAATGAACAAAGTCTGGCTACCAGTATTTAAAAAACTCTAAAATTACAATAGCACAACAACAGAGAGGAAACAAACAAGGACATCTAATCACCTCTCAACAAAAGTTTGCTCTAGGCACTGTCAGGCCATTATATGCTAATCAAGGTGGTCAGTTGAAACACTCACACCTAGCTCCAGCAAACAAGAGTCCTTTGTCCCACGCTGGTCATTCCACAGATATATAAACCCTTTTTCCTAGTTCCAACAGACCTCACTACCTCTGAGGATGCTTGCCATCGATGCAGGTGAAACGTCAGGAGAGATTGCCTCTAGACCATGGCCATATAGCCCGAAAAAACCTACAACCCAGTGATTCCAGCCATGAAAGCCTTCAACAATACAACTAATACTAGGATTTAGTCTCATGCCTTCCATTGCCTCCATAAGAATCCCACTAGCTCAGTGGTTGCCAACCTGTGGGTTTCCAAATGTTTTGGCTTTCAACTCCCAGAAATCCTAACTGCTGGTAAACTGGCTGGGAGTTGTAGGCCAAAACACCTGGGGACCCAGAAGGCTGAGAACCACTGCTTTCGATGTTATCCCGAATGAATCAGCTGGCATGTCCGCATGAGCACCTTTTTATTACCTCCCCGCCAAAGCAGTACCTATTTACTCACATTCCTGTTTTCGAACTGCTAGGTGAGCAGAAACTTGACTGACGGTTAGGAGCTCACCTAGACCCGGGCTTGAACTGTCAACCTTTCGATTGGCAAGATTATCTGCAGTTGGCAGTTTAAAAGCCCAGCCCTTCCTTGGTTTCCTGCAGAAGTTGATCCACAACATAGTTTGTGAGAGTCTCAACCAGTTCGAACTAATTTGTGCTACAAAAATGAAGTTTCTGGAGAACAACAACTATTTTCAAAGCAAGGACTGCACAATTAAACAGGAAACGATACTTTCAAACCAGGAACAGATTTGCTTTCAACTTTTCTTACATACTGAAGCATACAGGGAAACCATGCAACCTTCCAAATGCTATTAGACTCCATCTCTCAGCATTAGTCCCCATTGGGGTTGTTGGGATTTGTAATCCAACAGTATGATTCCCGTTAAACCGAGATGAGCTTGGTTTGGTGTGGATGATGGTTTCATTGCTTTGCAGGAAATGATAGAGCGGTGCTGGCCGGTCCATCCATGCAATCCTTTTAAGAGACGAGAGACATCACTTTTGTCCTTGCATCTTATCTTTCTGGCTCCCTTTGATGTCATAGAAGCTTATTTCTTGGACTAATATATATAATATATAGCTTTACGCAGTCTATCTTCCTGGTTAAACATGTTAAATGCGCTTCAGATAAGTTAATTAGGGTAATATAGCAAACTCAAACCCCC